AAAATCCCAAGTGACTCAAAGAACAGAGCTATGCTCCCCGGCAACGGCGCCAGAAAATAGTCTTGATAACCCACAAGTATAGGGGATCGCAACAGTTTTCGAGGGTAGAGTATTCAACCCAAATTTATTGATTCGACACAAGGGGAGCCGAAGAATATTCTCAAGTATTAGCAGCTGAGTTGTCAATTCAACCACACCTGAAAACTTAATATTTGCAGCAAAGTAATATGATAATAGCGGTAACGGTAGAAAAAGTAATAATTTTGGTTTTATAGTGATTGTAACAATAGCAACGGAAAAGTAAATAAGCGAAGAACAATATGTGAAAAGCTCATAGGCAATGGACCAGTGATGGATAATTATGTCGGATGCGATTCCTCATGCAATAGTTATAACATAGGGTGACACAGAACTAGCTCCAGTTCATCAATGTAATGTAGGCATGTATTCCGAATATAGTCATACGTGCTTATGGAAAAGAACTTGCATGACATCTTTTGTCCTACCCTCCCGTGGCAGCGGGGTCCTATTGGAAACTAAGGGATATTAAGGCCTCCTTTTAATAGAGTACCGGACCAAAGCATTAACACATAATGAATACATGAACTCCTTAAACTACGGTCATGACCTGTAAGTATCCCGATTATTGTCACTTCGGGGTTAACGGATCATAACACATAATAGGTGACTATAGACTTGCAAGATAGGATCGGGAACTCAACATATATTCATGAAAACATAATAGGTTCAGATCTGAAATCATGGCACTTGGGCCCTAGTGACAAGCATTAAGCATAGCAAAGTCATAGCAACATCAATCTCAGAACATAGTGGATACTAGGGATCAAACACTAACAAAACTAACTCGATTACATGATAAATCTCATCCAACCCATCACCGTCTAGCAAGCCTGCGATGGAATTACTCACGCACGGCAGTGCGCATCACGAAATTGGTGATGAAGGAAGGTTGATGATGACGATGGCGACGGATTCCCCTCTCCGGAGCCTCGAACGGACTCCAGATCAGCCCTCCCGAGAGAGATTAGGGCTTGGTGGCGGCTCTATATCATAAAACGTGATGAATCCTTCTCCTCTATTTTTTTCTCCGTGAACACGAATATATATAGAGTTGGAGTTGAGGTCAGAGGAGCACCAGGGGGCCCACAAGGCAGGGGCGCGCCCCCACCCTCGTGGATGGGGTGTGGGCCCCTGGCCTTGATTCTTTTGCCAGTATTTTTTATATATTCCAAAAATATTCTCCGTTGATTTTCAGGTCATTCTAAGAACTTTTATTTCTGCACAAAAATAACACCATGACAATTCTGCTGAAAACATCGTCAGTCCGGGTTAGTTCCATTCAAATCATGCAAGTTAGAGTCCAAAACAAGGGCAAAAGTGTTTGGAAAAGTAGATACGTTGGAGACGTTTCATTTAGCTTAGTTTAAATTTATGTTTTATGTTCGGTTATGCAAAACTATCTATGTTTATGTTTGAATGCATGCTACTTTCGGTTGAACCTGCTTTGAACTTGATCAAATTGAAGTTTACAACCTTAAGTTTAGGGGATCGACTAGAAAAGGCCAAAAATGGCTGGAGTATATATATATATATATATATATATATATATATATATATATATATATATATATATATATCCACTAAGGGTTTTAGTCCTTTAACTTTTTAAGGATCGCCTAAAGATGTCCTTATGACTTGTTTATTTAAGTTCTTCACAATGTGATGCTCTATATGTGCAACTATTTGCCGTGCAGTTCAATTTCATCAATAACAGTTTCAACAATACCACTATGAATTATGATATTTGGTTGTTGTTAAGGATATTGTAGTTAACATGCCTTTTCATTTTTTAATTGTTGTTTAGCAACATGCATTGTACTGAATGACTAAATATGCAATCCCAGGCTACATAGCAACAAGGAAGAGTGTTACCTTAATGTTCTGATGATGTCTAGATATACATGTAATAAAATATTATATAATGGGATGGATGGAGTGTTGTACTGGGGGGGCCACCTCCTGGCCGGCCCTCTCTCCTCTAAGCCCCATGGTGGCCCATTAACTTCCGGAGGGGTTCCGATAACCCTCCGGCACTCCGGTTTTACCTAAAACTCTCCGGAACACTTCCGGTGTCCGAACAACATGGTCCAATATATCAATCTTTATGTCTCGGCCATTTCGAGACTCCTCGTCATGTCCGTGATCTCATCCGGGACTCCGAACAACCTTCGGTACATCAAATCACATAAACTCATAATACCAATCGTCATCGAACGTTAAGCGTGCGGACCCTACGGGTTGGAGAACTATGTAGACATGACCGAGACACTTCTCCGATCAATAACCAACGGCGGAACCTGGATGCTCATATTGGTTCCTACATATTCTACGAAGATCTTTATCGGTCAAACCGCACAACAACATACATTGTTCCCTTTGTCATCGGTATGTTACTTGCCCGAGATTCGATCGTCTGTATCATCATACCTAGTTCAATCTCGTTACTGGCAAGTCTCTTTACTCATTCCGTAGTGCATCATCCCGCAACTAACTCATTAGTCATATTGCTTGCAAGGCTTATAGTGATGTGCATTACCGAGAGGGCCCAGAGATACCTCTCCGACAATCGGAGTGACAAATCCTAATCTCGATCTATGCCAACTCAACAAACACCATCGGAGACACCTGTAGAGCATCTTTATAATAATCCAGTTACGTTGTGAAGTTTGATAGCACACTAAGTGTCCCTCCGATATTCGGGAGTTGCATAATCTCATAGTCACAGGAACATGTATAAGTCATGAAGATAGAAATAGCAATAAACTAAACGATTATAGTGCTAAGCTAACAAATGGGTCTTGTCCATCACATCATTCTCTAATGATGTGATCTCGTTCATCAAATGACAACACATGTCTATGGCTAGAAAACTTAACCATCTTTGATTAACGAGCTAGTGTAGTATAGGCATACTAGGGACACTCTGTTTGTCTATGTATTCACACATGTACTAAGTTTCCGGTTAATACAATTCTAGCATGAATAATAAAGATTTATCATCATATAAGGAAATATAAATAACAACTTTATTATTGCCTCTAGGACACATTTCCTTCAGGAAGCAGTAGCAAGGTGATGCTCCCGTACATCCATGTAGGTTCTAGGACCACCCCTCGTGCTGATTAGGGTCCAACCCACATTCTGCCTCATACACGTCGCCATGGGCTATTTTCATCCCTAGCTCGTCACACACTTTTTCACTTTTCCTTCTCTTCCCTTCCTTTCCTTACCTTTCTTCAGCGAAGCAGTAGCCTCCTCTGTAGGAGTCACCTCCTGTCTGTAGGCTATAGCTTTATTGCCACGATGGCATCCGAGCCTAGCTGGCCTGCGAAGCAGCACCTCTGGGGCTAACCGTTGGCCATGCCCTAATTAGGCCTGTCACAGCCCCAGTCTCAGGTGTTTTCTTGGAGAAGACACCTAAAAGGGGATGTGGGATATCTGCTCCTGAACACAAATTTTCTTGGAGAAGACACCTAAAAGGGGATGTGGGGTATCTGCTCCTGAACATAAATGGACACGGATGAACTGTAAATTCATAAGAAAATGTAAAAATACAAAAAGTCGTGGAGAAAAATTTGGCAAAATTGTTTAATGTTTTGACTGGTCGCAAAGTTTCATGATGGAATGACATTCGTGGAGTTTGTGGTAAAAAAATAAAATCAATATTCCAGAAAAAACTATTTTTGAAAGCATTTTGAAACATTGATTTTGTTTTTTCGCCACAACTTCCATAAATGTCATTCTAGATGAAAATTTGCACACAGAAAAATTGATTTTTTAAACTATTTACCATATATGTTTTTTGAATTTACTGTTCAGAGCAGGTGCATGTGTTCTCATGTGCACAAGAGGACTTTCGCAGTCAGACCTATGTCAACAGCGATCCATAAGAAAGAGAGAATTCACAATGACTGCTATTATAGCATCTCTAGCAGACCCCGTATAATACCGACCTGCAAAATGCGTTTACAGCTCACGAAAAAACAGCTTTGCGAGCCGGCGCGGGCGGTCGCAAAGTCTGACCCCGCAAAACCAGCCCCGTAAAAAAGGATATTCACGGAGTATGCTCTCTTACGGGTCGGCTTTGCGGGGACTGCCCGAGCGCCGCCCCGCCAGCCCGCAAAACCGAAATTTGCAATTCAATTTCACACATGAAAATACATTTCTTTGTTTTTTTATTTTCTTCAACGGCATTGGATACATAGTAATCACCAAATCTTTGCTAGAATAGTAAGACCAAAGAAAACAAGAACCATAATTATGCATTTTAGAAGATATCCAACTTCCATAACTGCGGCCCTCTAGCGTGATATATATAGCGCGCTGACGGGCCGAGGAGGGAACCCGCATTTTCACGGGTTGTGACAGGAATTATGCCATGCCCCGCAAAAAAAATTACGGATCAGACACGTTTGTGGGGTCTGGTAAGGCATGTTTTCCCACATGGACCCACATTTTGACGGTTATTTTACGGGTCACGGGTCTGCTAGAGATACTCTTGCACCGAGAATAATTTCAAACTTCACATCACTTACTAATAGATTCAACATACGCACAGTAATCACTCGCTTAGTGGGGCCGTTCGGAAACTCTCCACTCCTAGCTCCACTGCGGGAGCGGAGCGGCATCTTGTGTAATTTGGGCGAGCAGCCAAATGGGCGATCCGCCCGCTCCGCTCCCTGGCGAAGGAGCGGAGTATTACCGAACACGACCTTGTGATTCACACACTCCCTTGTTAACAACCAAACGAGACAGAAATGGCAAGCTCGCTCAACCAGAAGACGCATATTCAGTACAGAGCGATCTCTCCGTTCCAGCCAAAACACAATCTAGCCACACAGTATTAAGCTACCACCATGTACGATTAATAGGTGCCTTAAAAGCAGAAAAACACGAGGGGCTGCCAGGAACCGAGGGCATCAGTGCTCCAGGTGGAAAACACATTCAGTCAAACGCTGTAGTTTGTTCGGATCAAGCTTCTGGTTCGTCTGGGGCTTCTGTTTTCTGACAGTAAGCATCTTGGTTGCCACATCCAGACTCCAACCGTTTTGCACGGCATCTGCATCCAGGAGGAACAAGGCAACGATTGTCATCAACTGAATTGATACAAATAAAAGCAACAGTGCAGCAATAAAAAATTAAAACGCACAAGCATAATCATTTTCCAAGGCAACAATAATGTATGTGATATCTTACAAGAAAAAGCAAGTGTGCAACAACAGATGAACAACTAATCAAACTGGAAACCATGTTTATCAGCTCAAACCTTAATACTCCTACCCACCAGGGATTTTGGTAAATTAGAAGGGTACGAAAGGGTGCGCTTATACAAGTAAAAATGCAACACAGAAGTAGTTGGTTGCATCCAACATGTCCACTGACTCTGCACAGTGCTGTTTACCGCAATTTGAATAATACCAGATACTCTCTCTGTTCCTAAATACTCTCTCTGTCTCATAATATAAGAGCGTTTTTGACACTACGCTAGAATAAAAAACGCTCTTATATTATGGGACGGAGGGAGTACAAGTCTTTTTAGAGATTTCAATATGGACTACATGCGGATGTATATAGACGTAGTTTAGTGTAGATTCACTCATTTTGCTCCGTATGTAGTCCATATTGGAATCTCTAAAAAGACTTATATTTAGGAGCGGAGGAAGTAGTTCCTATCTATATACCAATATAAAAAGACCTCAAGAGGCAGATCCAATTAATCTCGACCATCAAATCATGTCAATCCAACGACCTAGACTGTTTCAATGTCGAGTGCTCAACACGTTTAGCGTGTAGTTAATTTCATGCCAAATATAGTGCTAATCACATAATAACACGCAAATAATATCCTACTTAATATCCGCATGCACTTAATATACTTCCAAATTAACATGCATTGCACGTACACATTGACTAGTTTTTTTAAAAAAAAAACAAGAAAGTAATAACTATGCAAGTAATATTACTCTTACTCTATTACTTCATACAAGAATTCTAACTATGAATAAGTAGCAAATCATTGTGCCTCACAGTAACACTTGGCTCAAAAAACTAAGTTAAACAAAAAAAATCTGCATTACTGTGCAGGTTGATAAGCAAACAATAGTGTGAATGTGCAGTGTACAATCTAGGAAAGAGACAACGTTTGATGGCCTGAAATGGAATTGACTGCCATATAGGAAAGGTTTCTCCTTTATGTGTTCAGTCAACCAGGAAGGCAAGGGCATTGTAATAAACGTAACTTTATCTACAAGCATTAGATCATTATGCTTGTGGCAACTATTCAGAACCCCAGATATTGGCACTCGAAGATTTAACACCTGATAAGGTCCCAGGGCAAAGGACACATGTCAGCGCAACAGAGGGGTTGTAAATGATTAAGTGCCAATCCTAGGGATCATAAACCCAAATTTACTGAGATTTATTAAATGTGAAGCGAAGCAGCAAAGCACTTGCACCTTCAAATAAATCATATTCGTCTCACGATCAGAAGGAACGCAGGACATATACATCACAGATGCCTAAATAGCAGATGGACACACACACAGACTAGGCATGTTGTTTCTGGTAATATAAGTTAGATGTATCAGAAGGATAGGATTTCTGAAAGACATAACTGGATCTAGGTACTCCTGGCCAGGAATATATGTGTTCAGGGAAGTATTCAAAATCAATTAAAAAAGGAAAGATAGCCATCTCAAATATGCTTAGGTTTGCCGGTGCAGATAATGACACATGCTCCTCAAGGATATCAACAGAACTAAACTTTTTGTAGGTAGCAAACCATCTCACTTCGTAACTAAATTAAAGTTTGATCTTATACATATGAGGGTAACACTTCATAGGGAAAGATCTATTATTTGATTTAAAAAATGCAGTTTTACATGTTTCAAACCAACCAAGCAATTAAACAGGTTAGAATGCTCAAAACTCGTTATTATCTAGCTGAATTGAAAAACGTACAGTTAGTAGCATCCTCCTCGCTCATCCCCATGAAGTGAGCCACATCTGCAATGCTGATTGTGGTATATGCAGAAGTCAACAGCTCAAATATCCTCTTTCTGTAGCTTTCTGCGAATATTAGAAGCCAAGGTGAAAACTCCATGTCAACCAGTAAGGCAATAGAGCAATCGAAAACAAAAACAAATATATGAGTAGTTCCAAACATTGTAAGTAAGACAAGATCAGTTAACCATGCAAGTAACAGGGACAATATTACCCCAATGATAAGTTCAGAGATCAACCTTTTTTTCCGGCAGGAAAAGACCGCAAGGGATTCATGCAAGAATTTAACCTCTCTAGATATACAGAAGTACCACATAGGTACCACAAAAAGAGCCGGAGCTGGAATAACTGTACTGTCGATTAGGGAAACAGACCCTATCTGCAGTATTTAGGGACGAAATAGCCAACATCTTATCTAAAACCAAAATTATATGTGAATGTAAGCCCATTGGACAACCATCTATATGCAGTATAGTTCTTCAGCGACCAGACAATCATACAGCAAAAAACTCTACTACAAATGTCACATTCAAATTCAGTGAGGATCTTGTCCGATTACAAAGATAAACCTTCTCCATGAATACTCCATAAGGGGCAACCTACTTATCTGCTTCGCCCCACCCCCTTCACAAAACAGAACTACCACAAGCTCTATCAAAGCAAGCAATCCAAACTATACACTACACAACTAGGCAACTAGCACAGAAAAACTATATTACCATGCTAAAAAGTAAAAAACAAGGGCAATACCTAGGAAGGCGGACACAAAATCCGCGATTTCAGGCCCCCACTCGAACCCCTGTGCGGAAGTATAGATACCAGCGTAGTCACGGTTCCAGAGGCACTGGCCAATCTTCCAGATGGCGCCCAGCTCCGGATGAGCGTCCTTCACCTCCTGCGGCACCGTTTTCCACAAAAACCTCGCGCTGTTCCTGCTCACGCACCCAGAACACACATCATTGTCACAGTAGAAG